AGATGTGTTTATACACGGGATCCCGTGGCTCGGACTCCACGTCTCCAAGCAATTCACCTCGTAAGCGTAAATGCAGTCTGTCAGGTGTAGTTGAGAAAAGTGCAGAAGATGACAATGAAGAGTTATGTCTTCAAATGGAAGTAGATGATTTGGAACAAGACTTGGACTGGTTTATAGAGAGCAAGAAAGAACTTGAGGAGATGACGTATGGGGAAAATACCGAAAGGACTGATTCCTCAGAGTGGATACCTTGTCAGTCACAATCTGAGATGACAAATGAAAATATACACAACCTCAGGCATGCATTAGCAGAGTGTACACCTTGCCTAAAACCAAAAACGGACATGGACGTGAAGTACAAAGGTTGTACTCTGGGTTCTGTGCTTTCAAATAGCTCCAGCGTTACCGTGGAACCTGTTCCTATCATTGCCCATGATATCATATGCCCTCATGTTGTTGAATATGTGAATAAGGCACCTTATCGCTGCATACATACAAATAGTATGGATATCAAAAACTCACCATTTTCACACCAGACGACTAATAAACCTTCTGTACAACAATCTAATGTAAAGAATTTACCCAAGTCAGATCAGTTATGTCAGATCACAATCACTGGATGGGAGGACGACACCACCCTCTCCAACAGAGACACACAGGAGCAAAGTTCATCCAACATAAAGAGGTTGCTAAGCCTGGGAAAACCACTAAACCTGAGCAAACAAGGCAACTCCTTCGAGCTGGAAGAGGTACGCTATCTCTTATCATTTTAATGCATTTCATGCCAAGAGCAGTTGCCCACACAGATTCTCCCATTATACATCATTAACAGAGTATTATCCAACTCGTTATTGCTGAATCCACCTCCAAACTTCCTCTTTGCATTCCACCTCTGCATAGAGATTCTAATGTGACTTGTCATTTATAATACCGCAAGCTTTCGTGCTATTACTTTTTACACAATTACAGTTGGGTTAAGGATTTGAACAAACCCCAAACCTTAAAGGGACAGTTGACCCAAAATGAGAATTCTGTCATTGTTTACTCACCCTCATATAGTTCAAGAGCTTCTGTAAAACATAAACAAAGATATTTTTAATATCTTAGAAGATAAGCCCACTGGGCTTAATTGTATGCACAAAAACATTTAAATCATTCTTAAAAATATATTTTGTGTTCTGGAAAAAATGTCATACAGGTTTTGAATGACATGAGGGGGAGAAAATGGGGGACGGTATTTGTTATTTTCAAATTCCAGTTGCTTTAGTAGGCTAGATTCCTAGTGATATTTTGCCAATACATGATCATTTAAGAAAAATTACTGTAATTCATCAAAAGTTTTTTTTTACATTTCAAAGGTTGTAGTACATAGTGAATGGACTGACTTACAACAGGTGAGATTTTACCAATACATCCCTTCATATATATTTAGAAAAATAATCTGTAATTCACCATTTGTTTCATGTTCCAAAGGTTGCAGTACGTTACTAGTGACCAGACTGACTTACTACAGGTGAGATTTTGCCATAATGTCCCTTTATATAAGTACAGTACAATATTATTTTAGAAAAAAATTACTGTAAATCACCAGAAGGTAATTCATTATGTTCCAAAGTTTGTAGTACATTACTAATGATGAGACTGACTTATTACGGGTGAGATTTTGCCAATACCTCCATTTATACTAGTACAATACAATCACTATCCATTTATACAAGTACATTTCAAAAGTTGTAAAACATTACTAGTGACCAGTATTATTTTTAGAAAAAATACCATACTTAACTGAAAGGGTTTTTTCAAAGGTTCTAGTACATTACTAGTGACCAGAGTGACTTACTACAGGTGAGATTTTGCAAATACTTCACATGTACAGTATTATTTAAGAAAAAAAATATTGTAATTCACCTAAAGAGTTGTTCATGTTCCAGTGGGTGTATTACATTTCTAGTGACCAGACTGACTTACTATAGGTAAGATTTTACCTATACGTAATTTCATATATGAATAATAATGTTTTTCTAAACATAATAGTCCACTTCACGTACCATATATATATATATATACATATATATATATATATAAAGTATGGTCAAAATCTCACTGTCAGTCTGGTCACTAGTACTGTACTACAACCTTTGGGGAAAAAAAAACTTTCGGTGAAGTACAGTATTTTTTCCACAATAATACTGTACTGTACATTTATGAAGGGAGGTATTGGCAAATCAAATGTAGTAAGTCAGTCTTTTCACTAGTAATGTGCTACAACCTTTGAAACATTTTTTTTCTAGTATTTTTTTTCTTTCTTATAATAATAGTGTACTGTACTTGTATAAATGGATGTTTTCTAAAAATAATACAGTACTGTACATTTATGAAGGGAGGTATTGGCAAAATATCACTAGGAATATAGCCTACTCTAGCAACTGGAATTTGAAAATATCTAGGTAAATTACAGCTTTTTTCTTTAAAACAAGTACTGTCCGCGTATAAAGTGAGATATTTGGCAAAAGCATATATAGTCAGTCTGCCCACTAGCCGTTTACGATAACCTTGTAAAAATTATTCATTTGAATGAACAATTGGATTTTGTTTATGTTTTTGCACTGTGAGTGGAATTTGCAGATGGACCCTTAAGGAGCCTGTGCAAATATGCAGCTAATATAGAACCTAAAACTAACTTCACTGCGCTCAGTAAGCGTGACAGTAAGGACGACAGAACAGAACATGAGTGTATCAATAAAGACGACAGTAAGGACAACATAGCAATACGACATAAACAGAGGACATATACTAAATTATCTGAACAAGTAGGCAATGTCTGTAGACAAGGACATGTGTAGTACAAAGCACAAAGCAGTCGGTTCATTTTTGGCAGAAACTTAACCTCATACAGCCCTAGAGGTGAACTGTCCCTTTAAGCATTCAACAGTGGTGTGTACTGTATCTCAAGCTTGTTTGTTTCGGACATGAATGATGCCTCAATCTTACAATTTTTCCCTAATCAATGAATGACAGCAGTATCATAGAAACTTTGACTTGGCCAGTAAGCAACATGCTAAAAACCACAACAAACACATTAGCAAATGCATAGCAAACTAGCATTGAGGCAGCATGTTTTGTAAAAGAAAACAGCACTCTAGCAATGTAATGATCTAGTTTTCTATACTGTGGCACTGTTTTGTGGCATTATCATGAGGTATAGAGTTTCAATTCAGGTTCACAGTGCTGAGGAAGAGGAAGCCACTTCATCAGAATTCTGCTCCACAGTCACATTGTCTGTTTCGATGCATCACCACAAATGTAAGTAACATGAGTAGTCCTTATCATGACTAGGACTCGTGAGACAAATTTTAACCACTAATTTGACTATTTCTTGATAAGTTTAATAAAATAAATTCACAGAAAGCAACATGTGTTAATGTGGTGATAAAGGGAGGTGTTTTGCTGACTTGTTAAAAACATATCGTACGTGGTAAATTGGGTCCGGCTGATCTTGTCTGCCTCATCACATTTCAGGGAACCTATCTAAATTGCCTATCTGAAATCATCAGCTTTTTTACACATGGTTTCTCTTTCCCAGCGTCACCACTGAGAGGGGACAGTTTTCAGTCAGACAGCAGTGGATATGCTGACGAGGATGTGCACCATTCCCTCTTAACCCCAGATAAAACATAACATCAAATCTCAGGCTAATGAAGCACAAACTGCGTCTACTAATATCCTTCAAGTCAACATGAAATAGTGTTTGCAAACCCATCTTTCGAAGCGGGATGGAATGACTTTATCTTTGGAATAGTTTGTACAGATAAGTCATGCACAATAAGACCAGGAGCATGTGATTGTTGCTTTTATATTACTCTAATGTGAAAACCAGCAGCCTTGAATGATGCATATAATCTGGTTTTGAAATAGTTTGTTTTCTAATTTTGTGCACTTTTCGGTCGTCTTGTTCAGATGGATAAACTGCTGTACATATTGCCTTTATTTGTCATTGCACAATGGTAATAAATTATTTATTTGAACTATTTAGTTTTGGTAGACTGGTTTAGGAACTTGTCTGATAATGCAGTGGTGACTGGAACCCAAAAATTTGATTTGAATACAGAAATGTCCATTGAAACCAAGTATGTGAACACAAAACAAGCTCCGTTTCAGCCTTTGTTAGAAAGCAATTCATGCCACAATGCAAATGCAGTGTTTTTCTGGGGAAGTTGCTAAAGGAAGGTTGATTTGTTGCTAAAACTTGCTAAATGATGTTGTGATGACATAGTGTGATGATGTCATTACGTAATCACGATGCAAAATTGTCAAATCTCAGAAAAAACATTTTATATATGTTAATTTAGATTTGTTCGTAACAATATAAATGCATAATATAATATTAAAATATAAATAACTATTTTTAAATCTATTGAATTTTCTAAAACTTACACATTTTTGAACTATTACAATTTAAGTTTTTTTTATTATTAACTAATAAACAAGTAAAACTTCACATTCTGAGCAATTATACTTTAAAGCACAAGGAAGGTTGATTTGTTGCTAAAACTTGCTAAATGATGTTGTGATAACATAGCGTGATGACGTCATTACGTAATCACGATGCAAAATTGTCAAATCTCAGAAAAAACATATTTTATATATGTTAATTTAGATTTGTTCGTAACTATATAAATGCATAATATAATATTAAAATATAAATAACTATTTTTAAATCTATTGAATTTTCTAAAACTTACACATTTTTGAACTATTACAATTTAAGTTTTTTTTATTATTAACTAATAAACAAGTAAAACTTCACATTCTGAGCAATTATACTTTAAAGCAGTGTATTAGTAGTTAGTATGCTGCACTCTAAGAAAAGTCTGTAAAAAATAATGCACAATCTACTATGTTATGATGTTATATGAAGGAATTGCGGAAGTACAGTATAAGAGGAAATGTCAGGCATAGAGGGGCCTTGCAAAATTGACCAGAGAAGGAAAAGCAGAAGATAATGTCAATTTCAAGTTTATTGTTCAAGATAAAATATTCAATAGATTACAGATTCACCAATTTAGTACAAATTACATCAGTAATCACACAGTTTCACATACTACTGTTGTTGGTCGTATACTATTATACTGAATATGAACATTTCAGTCTTTGTCAGTTCAAATGTAATGATGAAGCTTGCGAGGCAGAAACACAGAGGTAGATATTTACCACAAACTGTCAGGTCCTTGTTAAAAATGATATTATTTCAATGGCTGAGAAAAAAAAAAACATTATTTTACAAATATGTTCTATGAAGCAAAATAAATGTTAACAAATAACTTCTATTACTAAAATATAATGAAAATAAAATGTAAAAAAGTGAAATATTTACAGTTTAAAAAGTCATGCTGTCTGTTCTAGGTTCATCAATTCATCAAGGTCACAAAGCAAATTATATATGCCATAATTTAAATAGAAAAAAAAAAATCAGAGGGAAAGTTAAAAGACCAAAACTTCTGGGCAGAGTTCAGTTATTTGTGAAGAAATACATATGACTTTTTCCAAATGAATCGCAGAGATAAATTCACTCACATTGAACACCTGTGAACATTTGTCCCCAAGTTTCAGATTAATAGTGTCCCCTGCCTTTGTTTGGAGGCACTTGAGAAGCAAGGGCACACGCTTTTGGGGTCATATTCAAGGTGAAAATCAGGCAATCAGTACGTTCTCCAACTGATTTCACAGTAAGGACTCAAACAAAAGGGCCTTGCAGGTCATTACAGTGCACTTACTGCATCAAACAAACAAGCCCTTCAGATTACACAACTGGGGGCAGAAGAGGTAAGCGTCACCTGATTTTCCTATTTTCCTCTGGGTAGCAAAAAGAAAACAAAAATGTTACAGGAGAGCTCTTACTGTGGTTTATTTCCCGCCTGCCATGATCTTGAGGTACTGAAGGGCATTGTGGGCAGCACTGGCACGTGCTGCATCCAGGCTAGAGGCGAATCCGTGGCAGACGGTAACGGGCTGCGTGGACAACTCCACCAGACACTGGTAAAGGCCACTCAAACTGCGCTCCTCTGAATGAACAAGGTCCAAAAAATATTTAGTTTTTAAGAAAGCACTACTGGTTTTGCTTATTCCCCTAAGCAGAGTAGTTAGTGTTCTCAATATCTGTTCATTTAAAACACTTAAATGACTTTAATGGGCTTGTTCGACTAGCCTTGTATCTCACCTATGTCCAGGTAGCTGACGTCAAAGCGCTGTTCCTCGGAAAGCTCACGAAGGAGAGAACAAAAATTGGAGTCATTGGAGTCAGGCTGACCCAGAGGATGACAGCGCAACTGTAGGATCTTCTCCCCGGCCGAGTTCCGCAGAGAGTCCCAAGTGCAGCCGAGACCTTTAGACTTCCCCCCCTCTAGTCTGCCACCCATTTGCTGTTGCAAAAAGATGAATTTACATAACTGCACCCTAAAATTGCATTTACAGTTTAGTAAATATTGCACGTCTTACCATATTGAAGGTGTCATCTTCTGCTTCGGCCTCATGGCTGCTGCGCATGTCCACAGGTACATCATGGATACGAGAGAGCATCTTTGCTGCTGCATTTCTTTTAGCAAGCTTTTTTGATGTGCCACTACCTAAAGAACAAGATTAAAGACATTCACTACTTTGAATGGACTGCACATTTAAAAATAATCACTATAGAAAAAATTTAAGTTTGTACCTATCTCAACAAATCTCTCCACCCTGCAGGTCATTGTAAACTCTTTGCGGTGTGCAGGTCCAGATTCTTGAGTGACCGTGTACTCAGGTAAACGCCAGCCTTTCTGCACTACTAGTTCCTGTGGAAATCGCATTTTTAAGCACAATAAATATAATTTCCATGATATTTGCATCAGCAATATATTTAAGTGATAACAATAACATTACCAATATATATGCTGCTTTTTTCTCTGCCAGGTTAAAAATAACTATTTAATGCAATCTCTAACATGACAAACTTAAAAAAAAATATATATATATATACACATGTGTATATTTCAAACTGTATATACACGATTAAAACTAGAAGTAAGCCCCAACACTATCTGCTTCCAATATTGTCCTACACAGTTTGATGCGGATGATTAAAAAAAAAATGCTAATATCAGTTAATATTATTCATGCTTAATTGCCACATCAAAAAGCAACACAAACAGACTGCTCTTTTCTTAGGCTTGTAATCTATGAAGTATGAAGCATACACAACATCTGCAGTTTAATGACTGCCTAGAATCTTTGTCTGAAGGCTATAATACACTACACTACACTACACTTTGCACAGAATTTTGCAGTTTGGACGAGTCAACCGTAGTTGCTGAAAAGCCAGAGCCAGTCTGCAGGTTTTTGGGCAGTTTGAGTTGACAGATTTCACAGAAAATCATGTAGTGCATGATGGGCACAGACTGTGATGTTTTTAGTTTCAGCCTTAGATTACATCTTTTAGGAGGATATCGAACATATTTGATATTTTGAGTTGTTTTAGACTGTTGTTTTAGTAATCATATGTCTCCTAGAAATGAGGCACTTGTTTGTGCACATGTAGTCCTATTTATGTAATCTATTCCAGCCTTGAGTTATGGCCGCTCACCTGCAAAGCTCCAACTGGATTGCACTCAGCTTGTTGCGTTGAACTGGATGATTTCATCTCTGACTGAGGGCTAAAACACACACACACACACACACATGATATAAAAACAGAAACCTATGTTAATTCATCAGTTTTGAGAAAATGGATCTTTGTGTAATGTATTTTTAAAATGGGCACACAATCAGATCTTTACCATTCTCCCTCCATATCAATCCCGACAAACCCTTCTCCCTCCATCCCATTTCCTCCGATCCCTCCCAGCATTCCTCCTTTCAGCATTTTCAGGGCAGCTTCGGCGGCTTTGTGCTTGGCAGCTTTCTTGCTGGGGCCCTGGCCGGTGCAATTGATGTCTCCCACAGACACGCGGAAGGTGAAGTTGGGCTGGTGGGCCTGACCCTCAGCCTTCAGCAGGTCATACACTGGAGTATTGCCTATCCGCGTTCCATATTCCTGCAGCAGACTGATGGGCGTCTTCCCGGGGTTCGCAGCCAGCATTTGCTCAATACTGTGAACAGAGAAACAAAGCCACATAGAGAAGGATTAGATGTTGCCGTCTAATCAGACTCCCAATGTGACCCTGGACCACAAAACCAGTCATAAATAGCACGGGTATATTTGTAGCAATAGCCAACAATACATTGTATGGATCAAAATTATGGATTTTTCTTTTATGCCAAAAATCATTAGGATATTAAGCAAAGATCATGTTCCATGAAGATATTTAGTATTTTTATTTTTACTACCGTAAATATATAAAAACTTAATTTTTTGTTTAGTAATACGCATTGCACAAGGACTTCATTTGGACAACTTTAAAGGCCATGTCCCCAATATTTAGAATTTTTTTTGCACCCTCAAGATTCCAGATTTTCAGATAGTTGTATCTCAGCCAAATATTGTCCTATCCTAACAAACCATACATCAATGGAAAGCTTATTTTTTTCAAATCTTCAAAAAAAACCTTATTACTCTTATGACTGGTTTTGTGGTCCAGGGTCACAAATATGAGTTTTTTTTCAGGTAAGACAAGTTTTCAACAAATAACAAAACATAGGACGCATTGCCACCTTGTGATAAATAATAACAGTACAAGCTCAAGTAATCGTCATTTATCAAACCATGCTTTCAACGAGTTTATTTTGGACATCGTCGATTCGAATGTTTCATGTAATTCGATTTAGACCGTTCGAATTTTCGATTGGAATCAAAAGGTATTCAAATGTTTCATTTAGACAGTGATTCTAACGTTCGATTTAAGAAGTACTTGAAACCTTCCATTTAAACAGTGATTCAAATGTCAATTGAGATGATGTGTTTAATAGTTTAGACAGGGATTCGAAAGATCGGTTTTAGTGATTCAATCATTCGATTGAAGGTACGTAAATGTTCGAATCTTCTAAGTAACGTTAGAGCTATGCAAACATTCGTTAAAGTGTGCAGGAAACACTAGGTCTGTTTGTGTTGACATTTCAAAAACGAAGTGTATTCGTAAAATATAAATATAACTGTAACAATTCTATTTTGTCGTGGTCATTTAACGAGCTAACAGCCGGTCGGTGGTTCATTTTTACCTGGTATACCCAGAGTTTCTCTTGCCGTTATCCGGGCTTTTCTCGTCGTTCATTCCCCAATAACAGATAGAGAGCTGACTTGTTTCGGACTGCAGAAACCCCCCGAGGTGACTGTAACCCCCCTGATATCATTAATAGGTTTCCGTGCGGGAATGACTGGGGCACGAGGACGAGACAGTACACCCCACTCTCTCAGACCATCCCGCATCACACAACACAACCGGACTGAATTATGAAGCGGACCGAAAGAGCGGCTATTAGCTTTCATAATAAAAGTCTCGACATTGACAAATGCCACAAAGCCTGTCAAAAACATGTCCGGGTCATATTTCACCTTTAATACTACTACTACCATAGACATATAAATACCTAGACGCCTCATTGGCCGTCTCGGTCCGTTGCTGCGATACGTCAACGCGTCCGCCATATTGGTGCGGGCAAGAGTTCCCTGTGAACAAATGCAACGAACAGGGAGAGCTGCGGTTTTTCTGTATAAAAATATGACAACGTTTGTTTTTATCAACTGATATCAGTGGTTTATGATCTACGTGGTGTACAAAAAAAATCCAGATACTTAAAATCTCGATAGTTAAATTTATTTAATAAGGAATTACAAAAGCTCACGCTTATGTAAATTAAATCTTCTCAAAAAGTATTTTCTGTGTTTAACCTCACCATTTTAGCTTTTCTTGTGCTTCAGGTCAGAACATACCTCGCTCCCTTTGAAATACTGTGAAAACAAATGCCCATCTTAAGTAATAATTTACCAAAATTGAGAAATGGAACAAACTGACAAATACAAATCACACTGGCACGTTCCTTTCTATATTTTTATAGCACTAAATTTATGCAATTATTTACAGGTACATACTCCAAAACAGACAATAACAAAGATAACTGATGGCATTATGAAAATACATATGTGATTTGGTACAACAGTTCAGCAAATATATTTGTAATATAGTATAAAGATGCAACAGTAAATAATATATTTACAGTAGTATAACATTTATAATAATTATTATTAATCATATAATAATTAAGAATAACATTCAATAAAAAAATAATAGGCTAGGGCAGTGACCAATAGATGGCTATAATAATTGAAATTGTGCTCCATTGTAAGATCAGTCAACGAGATTGATAACGGGACAATGATACATTAATTGTAAAATCCGAAATGTTTGGGGATTTTGGGAAAACATTCAGGTTGGCTCCCAAGAAGCCACCCCACTGCAATGTCCCTGGTTGGTAACTGCATTTTCAGAGTACATAAAATTATAAAATGTAAAGTGAATACTGCAAAATTACTGCATGCTCCTTAAGAGTGTAAATTAGTTTAGGGTTAGGATCCTTTAACTTAAGTAAATTATTTATCTGTAGGCCATTTAGCCGACTAAGAACAACATTAGAACAGAACAGGGAAGGTCTGAAACATATGAACATAGTGCCATACATACATTACTACATACCATTCTGCAACCTGTATGAACTGAAAAGTACTGAACGTAGAAGAATACAAAACAAAACAGTCAATAAAAAGAAAAGAACAAGGGAACAGAGCATCATGTGAACTTATGAACTGTTCACACGAACATAAACTTGACTATTTTAAATGACCTCTTTGATTGGTGAAGGAGTGTGCCATCTTTCATCACCAAACTGATCAAATATCACACACGCGCACGCACGCACGCACACACACGCACACACACACACACACGCACACAAACAAACAAACAATCACCCACAAACACACTGTGAGAGCAGCGGGATTGAGGGGAAATTAGGTTAAAGGACTATTCTCATCAAAATGATCTCATCATTTACTCAGCCCCCTTCCATCCCAGATGTGTAAGACTTGTTGATTTGAACACAAATATTAGGATTTTAGAGTTTTTAGATGAGTAGGTTGATAGAATGAAAGGAGACAAATTGTGTAAAAATCTCCAGTTCATGATCAGGCGAACAATGAAAATCATACACATACCATCTGAGATGAAATTAGAGTAAATAAATGACAATTTTTCATTTCTGTGAGGAACAATTGTTTAATCTCATGACCCCTCAATCCCACTGCCATCACAGTGTTTGTATGTGGGTCAAAGACCAAGTGTGTTTCCAGCATCAAACAAATAAAAGTATAATTTCCCCAATATTTTGACATTTTATTGTCTCAAAAGTTATTTGAAATATGAAAGTAGACAATTTACTTGCATTTAAGATATTTTTATGCATTTAAAAATGACATTTGTAAATGTAATTTGATGCGGACAACAAAATGGTGACATCTGGTCTTTGACCCATGTATATCATTCAATGTGTGCAGGTGTATATGCGAATGTGTCTGAAAACAGTGGCAGAGAGAAACAGATAGGATTGAATATGACCATAGCCACAATGCTCACAGTTGTTCTAGTCTTAACTAGTACAAATACTCACAACATTAGGCAGAGGAGGTTCGATCTCTTGGAAAATCTGAGAACAGCCCACTGACCAGCTCTCCTCAGCTTTCCTCGAGGCCTCTGTTTTCCTGGTTGCCACAGGTTAAAATAAATATGAAATATATGTCACTAACTATTTAATGACAAGCTATCAAATCCTTATAATCCAGTGACGATAAAGTCTTCTGCCCTTACATATTATTCTCGATTCTTAGTTTATTCTCTTTTATCACTTCTGTTCCTGTTCATTCTTGTCATAACAGCACAAAGAGAAACGCTGTACATAATCAAATTTAATTAGCAACATTGCTTGACTTAGAACAGCACTATTGGGACTTGGTTTCAGTATAAATTGTGGTCTGGTTGAGAAGGGCACAAGGTACACATCTCGTCTTTCAGGCATTTGATGAGCTCAAATAAGTACTATAGTTACAAATTGGACACACATGTCCCCAGTGTCCAGGACCAGCAGCACATTCCTGAACCCCTGACCTAAGAGCTGCAAATACACACACACACACACACAGGTTTGTTTTTATGGTTTATGGGGACTCTCCATAGGCGTAATGGTGTTTATACTGTACAGACCGTATATTCTATTGCCCTACAACAACCCTACCCCTAAACCTACCCCTCACAGGAAACTTTGTGCATTTTTAGATTTTCAAAAAAACTCGTTCTGAATTATTTATAAGCCTTTTGAATTACGGGGACACTGAAAATGTCCTCATAAATCACCTTCTCGTTGTAATACCTATGTCATACCCATGTTATTATACAAATTTGTGTCCTCATAAACCACATAAACACACACACACACACACACACACACACAGACACACACACAGACACGCACATGCACACACACACACACACACACACACACACACAGTGTCCCATTTCAACAGACAACTAAACACCAGATGAGAGAGAGGCTGGGACAGGGAAATAGTAAAAAAGATAAAAAGCTGTTTTATTCAAGTGACACTCCTGAGGTTAGTTAACTGTCAAACTGCTGTATGAAAAACACTGCAATTCTTTAAATGTGTAACCTAGTACAACAATATCAACACACTCTACTACATTTCGTTGTAAACAGAGCACTTCAAGATTTTAAGAGACATCACTAGAAAAACTAATTCATAATTGAATTTGAAAAACTCACTGCTAGCTTCAAAGTTCACTTTCAGGTATACAAAGTAAGACTGAGGAACATTTCAACAAATGTGAAATATTATGCATCACAAAACTCATTAGGGATCATTTCAAGTCCTCAGAAAAAGTATTTTATTTTGAACCATCATCCTCTCAGGAACTTAACTTCCATTGGTAGAAATGTATTTTTCATCTAGCTCTTCCACAATCTCCTCAGCAGGTTCTTCTTCTTCTTCCTCTTCAGAGTATTGCATGTGTTCTTCAAATTCTTCTAAGTCTTTCTGCTTCTCAGTTTCTTCTAGTGGCTCCTGCGACGTTTGCTCCTGACTGATATCTTCAACTACCTGATCTTCAGAGAAGTTCTCAACAGCCTCTGCCACACTTGTGTCAGTTCCTGTTTCTTCCATGGAAGTTGAGTCTTCCTTGTCAAGAACAGCTTCTTCTTCTTGGTCTGGAATCTCCTCAGTTATTTCATCCCCCTCAGTTACTGCTCGCTCTTCAATAACATATCCATCGTTGACCTGAACTTCCTCAGATATTGCATCCCCTTCAGTTACTGCTTGCTCCTCAATAACATCTTCATCATTGACCTCAACCTCCTCAGTTATCACATCCTTCTCAGTTACTACTTGCTCTTCAATAACATCTCCATCATTGACCTCAACTTCCTCAGTTACTACTTGCTCTTCAGTAACATCTCCATCATTGACCTGAACTTCCTCAGATATTGCATCCCCTTCAGTTACTGCTTGCTCTTCAATAATATCTCCATCGTTGACCTCAACTTTCTCAGTTATCACATCCTCCTCAGTTACTACTTGCTCTTCAATAACATCTCCATCATTGACCTGAACTTCCTCAGATATCGCATCCCCTTCAGTTACTGCTTGCTCCTCAATAACATCTCCATCGTTGACCTCAACCTCCTCAGTTATCACATCCCCTTCAGTTACTGCTTGCTCCTCAATAACATCTCCATCGTTGACCTCAACTTCCTCAGTTATCACATCCTCCTCAGTTACAACTTGCTCTTCAATAACATCTCCATCATTGACCTCAACTTCCTCAGTTATCACATCCTCCTCAGTTACTACTTGGTTCTCAACAGATTCTTCTTCCCCGAGGACGTGAACCTCCTCAACTGGTACTTCCTTGTCAGATACCTGTAGCTCCTCAGGCATTTCATCCTGTTGAGTTAATGCTTCCCCAATAATATCCTGGTGGAATGGAACCTCATCAGCTTGTTCATTCTCCTCAGTTACTGATTGCTCTTCAGCAACATCGTCTTTGACTTCAGCTTCCTCAGGAATTTTATTCTCATCGGCTTGCTTTTCAACAGGTTCTTCCCCATGAACCTGAACATCCTCAGCTGGCTCATCCTCCTCAGGTACCACTCGCTCCCGTTGTTCATCATGAACCTCCTCTACCGTTTCCTCCTCAGTAATGGCTTGTTCCTTTGTTTCACCTTCTTCATCCTTGATTGGAACTTCCTCCTGAGTTGCTGCTTGCTTCACTTGCTGCTCTTCTACTGGAATATTTTCCTCTGAACTGGACTGCTGGCTTTCAGATAACATCTGAAACATATAAATAATTAGGATTTGACATGCCAAAATGATCATATATGAAAAAAATGAAACAGTTAGGACTAAACCTGACTCTGGACGATCTCAAGTTGGGCAGCAAGGTGAGAGTGAAGGCTATGAGTACTCTTTTGATGGTCCTCCAGACTCCTACGGACTGCCATTAGCTGCTCCTCAAGAACTTGGGATCTTCTTGCCTGTTCCATCTCCAGGAGGTCCCTAGCAGAGAGAACAAATAAAGATGAATAAGGAATAATCTGTATCAGTAACAACACCAAACCGCTAAAGACCAGAAATGCTAGAGAGAATCCATAATCTATGATCCCACAAATCCCCCTCAGGTTACTCACTTGATGCCCATCACCTCCTGTCTGTTTCTTTCAAGAGCCTTCTTGTTGCTGATAAAGGATTCCTTCAGGCTTGAAAGTTCCATTCTTTGTTCCGCCAACTCAGATGTGAGACCCTCTGTAGTGGACATCTGCTCGTCAAGACGTGATTTGGTGACCAAAACAGTGTCTGTGAGCCCAGAAATGGTAACAGCTACCTCAGAGTTTGCAGTAAGGAGAGAATTAAGCCTCTGCTTCAGTGTTTCAATCTCTTCAGTCTTATTTTTGACCACTGCATTCAATGTTGCAGTGGATACAGATTCCTGCTGGAGTTCAGAAAGTTTGCCATTCATCTCAGACTGAAGAGACCAGAATTGATTTTGAAGATCAGTAGATTTGATTTTTTCTGAAGTGGCCAGTGCAACGTCTGCCTTTTTTTGGGCCTGTGTGTAAGCTTCTTCCAGTGCTTGTAGGCGCTCTTCGAAAACACCCAAATTGGCAATCTAGATATATAAACAAAATATTTTCATTGCAATAAAGTTCAATTATTAATTTGATCAATATGCAGCATTTCACCAATTCAGACATGTATTGAGCCTAAGCACTGTTATGTCCATCTACAATTGCAGTTCGCATCTGAAAATTCATCAATCATACATTAAATCTACAGTGTTGTAGTAATTAATTTATCATTTCACACAAGGCCACTGTGAATAATTCAGGATTTTAAAAATACACCAAATGTATAAGTTTGTTCATGACATGCTCTCGTCAGTGGTGTTGACAGCTATACACTAGCAATGAGTTCTATGATTCAGTTGATTCAGAAGAGGAAAGTATTATAAAAACAATGATGGCATTGATCTTTGTATTAGGTAGTTATCAAAGAAATGTCATTAAAATGCATAAATTAATGTTATCATAATTTGATTATAATCTTAAAGGGGTTGTTGATTGCGATTTCACTTTTTTAACATTAGTGTGTAATGTTTCTGTTTGAGCATAAACAATATCTGTAAAGTTACGACGCTGAAAGTTAAATGCAAACGAAGATATCGCCTTTTAAAATTATGGCAGTTTAATGCCTACAAAAACGGCTCGTAGGGACTACAATGAGTTACTTCCCAGGTTTGTGACGTCACAAACCCTGATAAACCTCACCCCCGAAAACAATCAACAAAGGGGGGAGGCGGCTGCTTGTTGCCATGCCGTCAAAACTAGGGGTGCACGAAAAAATATATTCATATATGAATTGCAATTCTGTGTTCTAATGATTCTAATTGATTCACAAGTTTTATGTAAAAAATAATTTTACATACATTTTATATCATCCC